TCCCCCAGAGAGGAGGCCACACGTAGCTCCCTGTGATCCATTTCCCCCTACTACATCCCCTTTCCCTCCTGGTATCGCCACTGTCACCCCTGGTCCTGAGAGGTTCCTCTGTCCTAGATTCCCTGTGTTCCCAACACCACAGGGCTCCTTTAAAAAATATTCCACCCCCATGGTGCCACCCTTCCCGCCTCCAACTCACTGCCTCCCTCATGAACCCTTCATAATTCACAACTTATTATAGTTTTGTCATAAGTTACACTGTCCAATGTCTCCCTCTGCCCTCTTCTCTGCTGTCCCTCCCCCAGAGAGGAGGCAATACCTAGATTCTTGTAATCGATTCCACCCCACATTCCCTCCAGGCCTCGCCCCTTTCACCACTGGTCCTGAAGGAGTCATCTGTCCTGGATTCCCTGTTTCTTTTTATTGACATGATATAGAAAATGAATATTAAACTCAATACTTGAGCCTACTATGTGAGCCACAAAGATGTCATGCACATTTTAATCCTTCTAGGAATTATCAGTGTAAGAAGAGTGATTGAATGTGTTTGCACATGACTACTCAGAAAGAGGCCAGGGTAAGAAAGACAACAACCACAAAATACCAGGAGGGGAGGGATAATAGATCAGAAAAGCCTTTGGAGCAATCTCAAATGCTAGATTCTAGCACATGGTTGAGATGGTCCCTGAGGGTAGGTTTGATTTCCATCTGGAGAATACTGTAAGAGTAGCAAGTTTATGAGAAACCAGTGCTGCTGTGAAGCAGTTAATACTAAGATTCTCATAAAACCATTTGAAATAGATATGGACGACTTCAAGGCTCGATCTCTTTGTTAATTTTATAAAGCATGATGTGATTAAATTTTTTCTCCCAAATATATGCAATTATATTCGGTAGAATTCCTGTTTCTCTAGCAGTTACTCATGGTACACCTTTGACTTGCCAAGATTCCACTCAAGGAAAGTTAAATCAGAATCACTGGAGTGCAGCAAAGCCATTGCTATGTTTTTTAAAGCTCTCTTTTAGAGAGAATTGATTTTAATGAGCAGCTAGGGATGCAATCCACCAGGCTGTACTGAAGTGGGACAATTTTGGTCTCCATTGGAGCTGGTTTAGCTACATTGTAGCTCTGTACTCTCTTTTCCCTTTCAACAAAATTTCCAGTAGTATTTGTATTAGTAACTCCCACTTACTATTTACTATGTGCCAGGCATTATGCCAAGCGTTTTTGTGTGTGTATATATTTTCTCATCTAATTTTCATAGTCATCTCCTGAGGTGGGTGCTACTTAAAAATGACTTGCCCAGTTCTTGCCCCATAGAGGGACCCCTCTCTTTCACTCCTGGGGGGAACGAATTGTTTGGAATTCCAAAACTTGTCTGCAGTTATAAATAGATGTTATCTGGGAAGAGCAATCCTAGAACGAGTGGCACAGAAGTGGCAGTGAGGATGACAAGGACATCCAAGAGCTATAGTTCCCTGTATTCCTGCTCTGTTACCTTTCACTACCCCTACTGGACTCCACTATTAAAATGACTGTCTCTTATCCAGTGATTTCAGGTAAGGTGGTTGGATGTCTCCGAGTCGATTTTAACCCCTCACTACCCCGCATGGCCAGAACTGACCCACAGGTTTGCTTTAAGGGAAGCAGATCGCCAGGTCTTTCTCTTGCTGAGCAGCTCGGCGGCTCCAACAGCCATCATTTCAATGTGGTATCAATCAATCAAAACAAACTCCCACGATTCCAATAGCCACCCTATAGAACAGAGCATTCACGTCCCATAGTGTTTCAAGGTGAACACAGACCCATCTCTCCCCAGGATTGGCTGGTGGGTTTGAAACGCCACGATTTCTGTAGCCGACCCAGTTCACCCACTGTGCCACGAGGGCTCCTGGTGAGAACCTTTGGATTGGCTGGTGACTCCTATGTACCAGGAGAGACCTGCCCCTGTGAGTCTCCGAGACTGTAATTCTTTATAGGAGTAGAAAGGCACGTCTGTCTCCTACAGAGCGGCTGGAGGTTTCGAACTACTGACCTTTTGATTAGCAGCCTAGCGTGTAACCACTACACCACCAGGAGACCTTAAAGAGAACGTTCTTTAAATGCGTGGAAAACATAAAGCATGGCATTTTTAAAAGGCCTAGCTACAGTTGAAGAATTGCAGATAGGAAATCTCATGTTTTCTTCTATTCCGGACTCCAGGGCAGCGAACAAGTGCGGGGTGTGCCCAGCCCGCGCCCTCAGCCCGGGGTCCCGGAGTCGGAGCGCGGCGCCTGCAGTACCGCGGGGAGCGCGGGGCCGGCGGAGTGGCTGCCGCGGGGGCTGGCAGGTCACCGGGAGGCGAGTGCAGATAATGTGGCGCCGCGCCTGTGGCGAGGGCGTGACTAGAGTTTCGGTCGCTGGAATGGAGGGTGTAGCCCGACCCTCGGGTTCAAAACCCCAGTGTAAAGGAAGGTAGCGCCCCACCGCCTCCTCCGACACCCCGCATTGCGGCGCTCGCCGCAGCTCACAGCTCAGAGGTTCCTGCGGGTAGCGGGCGCGCGGCGCTCGGTTGCCATGGAGACCCAGCCCCTGACGGACCGGGCGCGCGC